GTGGCGCCGCAATGAAAAGAGCTTTCTATTCTCTATATTTCCGCGCTTCGTTTTTGAAAATCGGTCGAGTCATTGAGAAAATATGAAGGATTGAAATTTGAAAAGAGTTAATTTATAATAAATAAATTTACCGTCAATCTATTCGATACGCATGGAAAACTTCTTGATACGTGATTCGTCCTTCTTGTCGAAACGTAAAACTTTCGTACGAACAAGTTTTAAACTCGAATCTAGTCGCACATCTACGAGCGGCACCATATGAAACAAATATACGTTCGCCCGCTGCTTGAATAATAAATTCAGCAGACGCGAGTCCGCAGAGCGTGAAAACTTTCTTCCTACGTCCGATAAAATGCATTATTAGATAGCTATAAGCTGAATTCTATTGCCAGTTTGCATAAAAATGACTTAAAAGCGAGTATATTTGATATTCGGCGCCGTAGCCAAGAGTTTTATATTAAATTTGGTCAAACTCGATGTATTAAATTCGTATTAAAATAAGTTTTAAATTAAATGTTATTAAATAAACGTTAATAGATAAATCAATTCCATGTAGTTATAAATTAGGACACCAAATTTGATTCGAATAAATCCCGTAGATAACTGACAAGGTTTATACTCCTAGAATGCTGCAGATGATCCCATGTGGTGCCGCATAGCTTTTGTATTATTTTGTTTCGTGTGTGCATTTGCAACTTATTTTAGACTTCCATCCAACGTAACTTTTAGATATGTACAGGGTGGGTCAAAAACTCCGAAACCGTAACAGATATCGATGTCCGGTTTTCACCATCATGTTTTTGACAACAATTAATTGAACTCCAAACACCGATATTAGTTTTTGTCTATCTCCTATAGAGAAGGGTGTTTCCATTTAAAAGTGTCGAATTTGACCCACCCTGTACAGGGTGTCCTATTTTGGTTTGGTTTGGTTTGGCCATACCAATAGGTATAGTAGGCTATTAGGATCGGCAAAAAAAAAGTTTTTTTAATTTCACTCAAAATGAGTTACTTGGGTCATAAATGACCTAGATACAAAATATTTTCATGGTGTCTGTCTGTCTGTCTGTCTGTCTGACCGTCTGTCCGTCTGTAGCACGATAACTCAAAAACCGCTGAACCGATTTTAACAAAATTTGGCACAAAAATACTGTGGTACCCGAGAATCTGGCCATTAGTTTTTGGTGGGGGTGGGGGATTGGTAAGGGGGTATGGGAGGGGGTTAAAATTTAAAAAAATCGTAACTCCAAAATTACAGTAGCTAGCGAAACGCGGTTTTCAAATTAAGATTAGGAATAATATTTGCAACAAAATCCATACATATATAAAAGCTCAAAGGGTTTTTTTGTTACATCCATCCCGCCGAAACTGTTTTACCAATCTTGATGATTCTTCTTATAAATGAAAGGTATATATGTCTAGATTTGTTATGAAGTATTTTTAAATTGTTGAATGGCTATTTCTTTGTGTAAATCGACTAAATATTAAAACATACCTGAAAAACACCTACACACAATACCTCCAGAAATAAATTATTTGTCATTGTCAGTGGTTTGTCAGTTAGATTATATATCATTTTTCAGATATTTTAGGGATCAGTTCATACAGCCAGCTTTAGATACATAAATGTATCTAACAAGGAACAAAGGTTCGTTTAAACGACATTAGTGAAATAGCTACACAAAGCAATTTTAGGAAATTCATCCTCTTAGAGAGTAAAATTATGTCGGAATAATTTGTTGTGTGAAAATTCCTTACTATGTGGTCTAGAAGAATGAAATCCAACAAAAAGAATTAGAAGAGATTTTTGAAATTCATCAACCAAATGGGTAAAGTTAGTAAAAATTTATATAAAACTTGGTGACCTCTGGATTATACACATAAAAATTGGCACAAAGGATCATTTAAAAGACATGAGTTAATTGTTTGGATAAAGCGATTTTATGAAATTTATAATCTTAGGGAGTAGAATAGGGAATGAAAGTTTGCTGTACGAAAATGCATTACTATAACATCTTATAATTACTATAACATTACTATAACAGCAGTATAAATTTTTTATTTTTATTCGATTTTTTGTCGAGCGAGTCTTAAATAAGTGCAATTATTCTTAGCGGTAGTAGGTATATTTGACCCCAGAAACACGATTATTAGTTTTTTCGCGAATTTTTTTTTGGAAAATTTGGAATTTTTTGAAAAACCTTTTGGATTTTTTTTAGTTTTTAGTTAAAACCATAATTTCTTGATAATATGACAACATAGATAGATAGTAGATTAAATTTACAAGACAGAAAAACCCGAAAAGCTGCAGTGGTTCTCAAAATTTAGGCAAAAAAAATTTTTTTTGAAATTTTTAAAGTAAATAACTCAGTTATTTTGGAGTTATTTGAAAAACGGTAAAGAGAAAATATGGTTTTTTATCGAGATCTACCAGCCCTGAAAATATTTGCACTTATTCAAGACTTGCCCTGTATAATACCCAGAAAATCGACAATTGATAACTTTCATATGAAATACGAGTAGCTCTAAAACTCTTAAAAACATAATTTAAATATGGCATTTGTAAGGCTCACTAGCTCTATATACAAAGTAAATCATTTAAATCAATGCATGAACTAATCGAGGTGTAACGCGAACGTAGTCGCGGGAAAAACCTAGTTTGTAATAACATGAAAATCAGTCAAAGTCGCAGTTTTCGAGATATTAACATGTTTTAGTATGGGCGGGCTATACGTGGCTCCCGGCGCCAATTTTTTTTTATTTATTTATGACCGAGAAAATTCAAAGATTTTCCTTGATTTATGCAAGAACAATCTTCGGATTGTCACTATGTTTCTAACAGGACACTGTCTCCTCAACGAACACCTCAGTAAATTGAAGCTGAGAAACAAAGGCGAACGCAGATTCTGTGGGGAAAATGGGAAAACACCTTATTAGTGATTGCTCCGAGGCGACAACGATTCATCCCATAAACTTTCTAAAACTGATATCGGAGATGGAGGAGTAGCCTCTGTGAAGCCGTCTCAGATACTGGCTTTTGTCAAAGCCCTGAGACTGTATGGTGAGTTATAACTCAAGAAAGGGAGTTACACAATAGATCTGTAAGGTCGCGATGATTAACCCCTTTTGTAAACATCTACATTCTAGTCCTAACTAGCGATGGGAACTATCGAATGAATTAGACTATCGAATGGTTAATGAATGAATGATTTCAACTATCGAATGGTTTTATTCGAATAAAAGCATTCATTCATTTGTATACTAAAGCATATGTGACAACCTCGCCGTGCGACTAAATGGTTATCGTTGAGCCACGACTATCGAATGCTTTTGATAAATGAAATTTAGTATTCGTTTGATTTTTGTATGCGTCAGTGCATTATTAGTTCTTCCAAATTTTTATAACTTCGCCGTATAAATACTGTGCTATTTTTGCGTTTATTAAAATAGTTAAAATACTAAAATAGTAGTTAATTTTGAATTTTATTTATTGACGATTGTGTGCATGTGCAGGTGGTCAAAATTTTTCCGAAAATTTGTGTGGTTTTCCATAGTCCGATCTTTCAATTATTTAATTTTATATGGTATATGGTCTATTTTTTAATGGGAAATTTTGAGAAGTAGCAATTTTTAAGAGAGATGAGATGAACTTACAATTAATTTTAAAAATACATATTTGTATTTTAGATGTTTTAATAATATGAACATAGTTGAACTTAATAATCATATTTAAGTAATGTGGTTAGTAATGTTTTAATAATATGAATTAGTTGAACTTAATAATCATATTTAAGTAATGTGGTTAAGTAAATGGGTTTATTGAACTCAAACTATGGGGTGAGAAAATTAAAATGAAAGTTTTACACGTGCCAATTTAAAAAAAAAGTTAACGATGTATTTTGTTTATGCTAATTCTCTTACATGTAGTTTTTTGCGAAGAAATATTTCATTTATTTTTTAAAGTAAATGACAGTTAAAGTAAATATAATTTTTAAATAGTAATATAAAGCACCTAATATAAATAATTTTGATTTCTAATTTTTTATTTATATTTTCCTTCCATTACACTGCATGCTTAGAAAATTAATAAATGTTTATATTTCATGATTTTAACATTTGTTGTTAATATAACAAATTAGTTCTGTAATTATTATTATTATTTAATAAACCAACGTTGCCACACACAAAAAATTTAGAGACTATATTATTTTTAAATAGGATCTAATATAAATAATTTTGACATCTAATTTGTTATTTATATTTTGCTACTACTTAAAAAAAATATTTATATTAAATGATTTTAAATTATGTTGTTAATAGGTATAACAAATTATTACTGTTATTATTATTTATTAAACCAGTCTTTGCTTAACAACATTAAAAATCATTTTCCTACATCCAAAATAACAAGTATTATTGCAGTGTAACAACAGAATATTAATAAAAAAAGATGCAGAATATATAGACATACTATCCCTAACTAACTAAAGCCAAACAATAATATTCTTTGCTAATATCAACTAATACCAAAATATGGCAACAGCGCCCTTCATAATGTATTTTCTGTGTAAATACTAGCACCTCAATAAAAAAATAATGTGTCCTTATCTATATCTGACTGGGCAAAAAATCAAAGATGCCGGCTTCTTTCATAGCATTGCCACCGACCGCTGTTGGGTTTCTCGGACAGAAACCTACGTCGCCAGGCGACAACTAAAATTCAGTTAATATTTTATTATAATCGATCCTGACGAATAAATGAATTTCATAAATGAATGAATTTTATAAATGAATGGTTTTTGCTGCCGAATTACTAGAATACAATATTTCAAGGCAGATGACGGATCTATTCGATAATTTTTATTCGAATAGTTTTCAACGAATGTTTTCTTACTAACTATCGAATTATTCGAATGAATTGCAACTATCGAATGTTTCGATAGTATTCATTCGATAGTTCCCACTACTAGTCCTAACGTACAAAGGAAAATAAAATAAAATTTATTTAAAGTATATTTTCAGATATATTATTTTTAAGAACTCATAATATAATTAATACAACTATACAATAGAAGAAACAGATACTAAATGTACTAAACTAAAGGATAAGAGGCTTGCAAGGCAATGCCACAATGATTGCCAGCGTCCTTAGCCATTTTAATATACCCTCCCTGTCCCCAATCCGGTCCGTACGAATTTTTGACAATCCAGTATTTCTTGCCGTCAGATTCCTGACCGTATCCCACAATCAAGACGGCGTGGTTGATGTCGTCTGTGGTGTTGCCGCACTCTGGATCCAAGTAGACACCGTCGGAGTAGAATTGGAACCCGGTTTTACTTGCATCTATGGCGGCCGCTATAGGGCCCAAAGTTCCTACAGCTTCTTCGAGAGCTTTCTCATTAGGAGCTACTTCCGCATATCCTGGAAATAGCAGAAAAATAAATTATTTCGAAAATTCCACACCTGCAATTTTTAACCAATCAAAACGTGTTTTTTTGACAAATCAACATAGCAACAGATAAATTTTAGTGAAAATTTCACACCTCTACTTTTCAACCAATAACATGCTTTAATGTTGACTAGTTACCATGGCAACTGAAAAAATTTCCGGAAATTTTTTCGAGGCGCCACGAAACTTTAGTGGAAATTTTTTGACAGTTGAAAAGGTAAACATAAGATCTACAATCATAATGTGAATGAACTACAATGTCTATATATTGAAATATTACCCATTTGAGTTTTAGCATTTGATGTAACTAAGGTTGGTAATATTTTTATTTAAGGAAATATGTTAGATATACCTACATATGAATTTCTTCGAAATTGCCATGTTCTAAAAAATATAGTTCTGCCGTCTTTATTTAACTAAAGCTGGTATTTTTCTATTTAACGAAATATGATGGATATACACTTGATTTTGATTTTCGGGTGTTATCTGGTTTTATATTTTCAATTTCTTCTTTAATGACTTGTTGGTTTACTTTTCCAAATCGCGACATTTCGCTATACACTTCTTACTCTACGTACAGACGTTTTAAAACTAGTAATAGCTTAATGACAGAATCGCAAACAAAATGACAAAACACATAATATGTCAAAAACATCAATACCTTGGCCAACTTAACAAATTGAAATTATTTTAAAATGTCATGTTGGATTAATATTTTTTTCAAATTTAGGTGTGAAATTTTCTTACCGAATACCACGCAAGCTTAAATTATTCCTGGAAATTTTCTTTCGGGCACGAATATTTTAGGAAAATTATCCCTCGTCTTCGACTCGGGATAATTTTCAAAATATTCGTGCCCTCAAAAAAATTTCCGAAAATAATTTAAGCTCTTGTGATATTATAAGTGAAATTTTTTTCCTCGTGGGCACCCAACAGGAAATTTTTTGACGTTTATAATGACAGAATATCTTTTTGAGAGTCTAGTTTTTATTTGTTTACATGATAATTTTGATACATTTCAATTACAAAGCTGAGATGAAAGTTTGTAAACTGCTTCCATACGCTTGACTTCGATTTCCTAGTATTCGCGGGTGCCAACTGCTTAGTCTCCTGGCCAATATTTTCTTTGCTTTCATGACCGAAGCGAAACATTTTTTTTAAGCCGTGCCGCTTGACAACTTCAAAACTGAAATAGTTTTTAGGTTTGGGCATAGGTAAAAGAAAATAATCTTTTATTAAGATAGATATGAAACTTAATAGTAAAATTTTGGGTCAAAGCGCCCCTCCGTGTTCTTAGTAGAGACTACGTTTAACCCAGCGCCTTCGCCTTTTCTGCTGTAAATATTTTTTATGTTTATATTTGATTTCAAAGGATTTAGTTTTAAAGTTACACTGATATATTAGTATATCAGAGTAACTTTAATAAAACATATATATATATATATATATATATATATATATATATATATATATATATATATATATATATATATATATATAGTTTATTATATATAAATTTTGACTACAAGGTAGAAAGTAAATCACAATATTTGATAAAACTATATAAGTATATATATTTTTACAGTTAATAAATAATAAAACTGATTTCAAGGTATGATATTAAAAATTTAGATAGATAGAATATTAAAAAACATACCATATTTGCAGACGCAGGCCCAAATTCAATAAAAACCAAAATTTTTTCTGCGAAAATCGGGCTTTTTTCACAGAAAAGGTATTTTTGATTTATCAACAATCATTGTCAAGTTGACAATATACAGGGTGTTTTCTAATTAGTCTAAAAAATTGTGGTGTGATTCCTCATGTGTTCTTAAAACAATTTTTATATAACCATTGGGTCTAAAGTACTTCCTTTCTGATCTACAGGGTGTTAAAAATTTAAAAAAAATCGATATTTTGCTTAACATAAATGGTACACTACTGCTTTTTTAAAGAAAATATATTTTTTTCTTGACTGGCCATCCTTTTTCAACAAAATTGATCTTTTTAGTTTTTCTTGTTCATCAAACGGTTGCCGAGAAAAAAATAAATATACTTATTAAGAGCCCTCCTTAAGCCGTTTTCTAACGATTTTTTATTTTTTAGATTAATTAGGAAACACCCTGTATATGCATATCACAGGCAACCAAATAAACTAGTAATCTCTAAAAATTATTTTCCCTACCACTAGCGACATACCGTGTTTTTAGTGAGGAGCACAAAATTATTTTATCAAAATTTCACCATATAAATTTCCAGGGCAATGGGTTTGGGTGTCACTTAGCTGTCATAGTAACTAAATAATCAATTCGACCAAAAATCGAAAAATACCTTTTAATTATTTGATTTTCAAACACAATTTGGTGTGGAATTTTCTTACCGAATACCACACGAGGTCAAATTAAATCCGGACATTTTTTCTCGCTCATGAATATTTATAAAAAATTATCCCTCGTCTTCGACTCGGGAAACTTTTCAAAATATTCGCGAGCTCGAAAAAATTTCCGGAAATAATTTGACCTCTAGTGGTATTACTAGTGAAAATTTCACACCTCTACTTTTCAACCAATAACATGCTTTAATGTTGACTAGTTACCATGGCAACTGAAAAAATTTCCGAAAATTTTTTCGAGGCGCCACGAAACTTTAGTGGAAATTTTTTGACAGTTGAAAAGGTAAACATAAGATCTACAATCATAATGTGAATGAACTACAATGTCTATATATTGAAATATTACCCATTTGAGTTTTAGCAATACCTTGACCAACTTAACAAATTGAAATTATTTTAAAATGTCATGTTGGATTAATATTTTTTTTTTCAAATTTAGGTGTGAAATTTTCTTACCGAATACCACGCAAGCTTAAATTATTAATGGAAATTTTCTTTCGGGCACGAATATTTTAGGAAAATTATCCCTCGTCTTCGACTCGGGATAATTTTCAAATTTCCGAAAATATTTTAAGCTCTTGTGATATTATAAGTGATAATTTCTATGTTGATGAAAATTTAGCTGACATAATTTTTCAGTTTTTTGCTACCCGTTTTTATATCAACATGGGACAAAACTAAAAAAAGCAAAGTTAGGCTGTTATGCTTATGTATAATATACAGTGGCACAGATAGATCCGTATCACATAGATCCTGTCAAAAACATAGAATGTAAAAAATCCCAAATCTCGCAATACAATCCTTCCATTATAAAATGTTGTGCAATCTCATGTAAAACCAAGTCAGTTTATTTATTAAGTTTTTCTTTAAGCACCTATTCAACAATTTTGTTACAAATTGTTAGTATAAATATTAGACATATTTATTTCTGTAATAATTATAATGACTTGGCAATTAATTGCACGATATTCTCTGCTAATTAAAACACTTTTTACCTAAGGGCACTGTTTAGATTTACTTAGTAATCGAAATGGTAGATTATTCTTTTTTAATTATGTGCTTATTAGTTATTTATCTTATTAGTTATCTTATATTTATATGAACCCTTCAGTAATATTAATAGTAACTCTGTGGCACAGCCTGTGGTATGTCTAATTTCAACAAACGCATTCACCATATTGTCAAGACGCAAATACTTCTTATCTATACTAATATATAAAATCCTTAAATGACTGACATACTGATTAATCACGATCCTGCTCAAACCACTTAACGTAAGAAGCTCAATTTTGGCATACAGTTTGATTCTAGGGTGTAGAGGTTCGATAAGAAGGGATTTTTCAAAATTCCAGTTCCAAGAGGGCGAAACCACCCCTCAAATATTACAATATTTTTTATTTAAAAAACGGTCAAGTTTCCGAAAAAACGCGTAAACACGTATATTTTATTTTGTTTTTTACATATTTTAAGATTTTTTAAAAATGTCATTGATTAATCACGATCCTGCTTAAAGCGCTTGACGTAAAAAGTTGATTTTTGGAAAACAGATTGACTTTAGCGTGTAGAGGTTCGATAAGAACAGATTTTTCGAAACTCGAATACTAAGGGGGTGAAACTATCCCTCAAATATTAAAATATTTTTTATTTAAAAACCGGTGAGTTTTTCGGAACAACTCTTAAACACGTATATTTTATTTTGTTGTTTTACATATTTTAAGAGTTGTTATAAATTTATACAGGGTGTTTCATAAAATATGACCATTGAGTAATCACGATTCTGCTTAAACTGCTTGACGTTTAAAGCTGATCTTTGGCAAACGGATTGACTGTGGGGTGCAGAGGTTTAATAAGGAGGGGTTTCTCGAATCTCAAATTACAAAAGGGCAAAAACGCCCCTCAAATATTACAATATTTCACACGCATCATTTATTTTGTTTTTTTACATATTTTGAAACTCTTTAAAACATCATACAGGGTATTCCAAAAAGTTGGGTAAATGATTAACCACGATTCTGCTTAAACTGCTTGACGTAAAAAGCTTATTTTTGGCAAACGGATTTTTTTGAAATTCAAATTCTAACGAGATGAAACTACCCCTCAAATATTACCAAGTTATATAATAATATCGCCATATTGTTTTTTCTCATGCTGACATAAACGTGAAAAAATTTTATTCAGTTTCTATGTTAATGGAAATTCTTGCTTTGCTTTATCATCACCATTACAAAGGATTAATTCGACGCGAACGAAGTCGCGGATATACGCTAGTATATTATTTATATTTAATAGGTAATTGTCGTCTAGGCATTTTCTATGCAAATTTCGTGTGATAAAAATTTAAAAATATAGAAACAAATGTATTTTTGACGTTTATTTCTTTTTATTTAGTGCACCAATTTTACGGTTCGGATGATATTTTCTAAAATCGTTAATATATCCTGTATATTTTCGATCATTTCTCATAGGATGTGAGTTTCTCAAAAAAAATTGATTAACTTGATATGGGCATATTTTTGAATAGAGAACTAATAGAGATAATCAAAATGAACACTACTCTTTTTCCTTACATTGGATGATACACACAGTTTATACATTAGACCATTATATATTATCTATTTCGTTTAACAGTTTCTGGTTGAAAAATCGACCACCGTCCCTCCACTCCCTTATTAGTTAACTTTTTGAAATATGTTATTAAGAAGATATGCTCCATTTGTGCTAGTTTATATATTTTTGAAGTCATTTTGGTCAAACTTGAAAATAATTAATACTGGTCTTAGCTCAGGGTCGATACATCGTTTTACATGGGTGACCTTCAACAAATTAGAGACAAGCTGCAATTTTGCGTGGAGCTTCATTTTGTAGATCTTTAAACATCCTGAAACCCCACCGATGAACTGTTGAGCCCATCACCCCAAAACCACCCCTAAAAGGGGTAAAAATGGTCCTTTTTTTACTTTTTCTTCAATAATTCTGAAACTACGAATTTTAGGAAAAAAAGTCACGAGTAAAAAATTGAAGAGAAGAAAATTTCCTACCACATAGGTAAAGATCCAAAATTTTTAGAATTTCAGTGGCGCAGGGGAGAATTCTTTATTCTAGGACTATTGTTTTAATAACCCACAATTCTGTGTTTAGCTTCAAACGAAAGCATTTTTGAGATAAATCTCGAGACCAAAAAATGTATTAGGATACAAGTTCCTGTAAAAACGATCTTTTTTAATAAAGGTAAGTTACCAGTGGCGGAGATAATTTTTTTAAATGTGCGTTTTTATATTTTAAAAACATTGAATAAGAAAAATTGCAGTTTTACAAATAATTTCCCATGAAATAGGTATATTGAAAAATTTACACGTTTAATAACAAAATAAGAAAAACCTTAGCTCAAAAATAGGATAACTTATCTTAAGGATAGTCCTCATTCACTTCCACATTTATTGGGCTCATACATGTAATGCCATTGCATTGACCACATGCCATAGTGCAGGTGAGTCCCATTCGCTTTCATGTATATGCTTTTTTACAGCTTCCCGAAAAGCAATTACAAACATTTTTCTCTAAAACCCATGTAGGAGCAATGGGCTGGTCTGAATGTATTGGATTCATCTCTCGATTTTTCAGACTCCAACCCCAATCTTGCGGTGGTAAATTGTTATTTAACCAAGCCTGTACCCTGCGATATTTTCAGATCTGTTTTCTCAATACTATAGTTATATAACATATTTCTATGGTAAAAGTGTCACTGTTGTTTTTGATGGCTATGAAGAGATACACACCAAAATCAGGTAAAAAAATGGTACCAATTGTATCTTTCTCGAATTTATCTGCAGTGAAAGTACCAAAGGCAGATTTTTTGTCAAACAACACCAACAAAAGCAACTTCATTCGTGCGCTCGGAAAAGTATTGATGGAAAATGGAATCAATGTTAAATTCACTGATGGTGATGCCGATACTCTTATTGTAACTACAGCGGTCGCAATAAGTGACAATTTACCAGAAGGGACCGTAGCAGTAGTTAGCGAAGATACGGACATTATAGTGTTACTGATTCATTATTGCCACAAGAGACTGTTTATGATTCTTCCGGGAAAGGTGTCAAAACCAAATAAAGTAATCTACATATCAGCCTTACAACAAAAATTGGGTGATCTGAAGAATGTGATTCTAAAGTGTCCACGCTATATCTGGTTGTGACACAACGTCTGCTGAGTTCAATAAAGGGAAAATTAATTTAGTGAACACCATCCAGAAGAAAAAGGTATGTGAGCTATTAAAAGAATTAACTAACCTAACCTAACCTAATCCCGAGGCTACAAAGGAGAAGTTAGAAGAAGTTACATCTCAGTTTATTATACCAGCATATGTAAAAAACTCGACAAAAAACGTATTTGAATGTGGTCATTGCAATGGCATTACATGTATGAACTCAACAAATGTGGATGAGGACTATCCTTAAGATAAGTTATCCTATTTTTGAGCTAAGGTTTTTCTTATTTTGTTATTAAACGCGTAAATTTTTCTATATTATATACCTATTTCATGGGAAATTATTTGTAAAACTTCAATTTTTCTTATTCAATTTTTTTTAAATGTTAAAAACGCACATTTAAAAAAATTATCTGCGGCACTGGTATCTTACCTTTATTAAAAAGATCGTTTTTATAGGAACTTGTATCCTAATATATTTTTTGGTCTCGAAATTTATCTCAAAAATGCTTTCATTTGAAGCTAAACACAGAAGCTAAACACGGAATGGTGGGTTATTAAAACAATCCTCCTAAATTAAAGAATTCGCACCTGCGCCACTGAAATTCTAAAAATTTTGATTCTTTACCTATGTGGTAAGAAATTTTCTTCTCTTCAATTGTTTACTCTTCTTCTTCTTTTAGAAGGCGTATCGCCTGTTTAGTTCCGGTTTCCTCCTCGTCTAAGCAACTCTTGCGAGGTTGACTGCCAACTGTCTTGCCAACGTTTAGGTGGTCGTCCAGTAGGTCTTCTGCCATGGGGTACGTTGTTGCGAATTATTATGGCCGTTCTGTCGGGGCCCATTCTATTGACATGCTGGTTCCATTCTCTTCTTCTCTGCCTTATCCATCTGACAACGTCATTTGTTTGGCACCTTTCTCTTATGTCTACATTTCTCTGTCTATCCCTCAATGTGTATCCAGTTATCATTCTTAAGGTCTTCGTTTCAGTAGTTCGTAGGATTCTCTTTGTTACTGATGTTTCAGCTCTGGTTTCCGCACCATATGTCATCACTGGTCGTATGCAGGTTTTGTATATTCTTGACTTACATTCTGTACTCAAATGTTTGTTTTTCCATATGGGATATTTAAGATGTCCTGATATTGCGGCAGCTTTATTGGCTTGTTTCCTTACTTCTTCTTCCAGGAATCCTGAGCTTGTAATTTTGCATCCGAGGTATTCGAGTGACGTTATCTGATCAATAGTTTTATTTTTTATTACCAATTTGTACCATAAAGGCTCCTTTTTAATGGTCATGCATTTGGTCTTATTTGTGGAAATTTGCATGTTAAGTTTTTCTGTCTGTCTATTAAAAGCTTGTAGCATTCTTTGGAGGTCGTCCTCTGACACTGCAATAAGTACTGCGTCATCGGCATAGCATAATATGTTTACTTTATGCATTCCCTTGATCCATGATTGTGTTGAATAACAGAGGGCTGAGGCTGTCGTAATACCAGTTGTAGTTCAAAAATGCTGGATTTTTGATAAGGATTTTTCAACTAGTTGCCTGAGTATGAATAGTGCATCGGTAGTTGATCGGTTTCTTCGGAATCCTTGTTGTTCCTCGCTTATTGGCACTATTGAGGAGATTTTGTCCGCAATGATCTTAGTCAGAAGTTTTAGCGAGGTGCTCAGTAATGTTATTCCTCTATAGTTTGCTGGGTCTGTTTTATCTCTGTTTTTAAAAATGGGTATTGTTATACTTTGTTTCCATTCTTCTGGTATTTTCTGATGTTGTAATATAATGTTAAACAGTTTTGTGTATTCCTCTATGATAGCCGTGCCTGCGTTTTTTATTAGCTCGTTTGGTATTTTATCTTGATTAGGAGATTTTTGTTTTGTTTCCTTATTGTCTCTTCTACTTGCTTGTAAGTGATTTGCGCATGATCTTCTGTATTATCTCTTTGGCTTGTCTCTTGTGCTTCCATTGGTTCATCTGTTTCTGCGTATAAGTCTTTGAAATATTTTTCCCACGTATCTTCTGCAATTGTTCTTAGTTGTATTGTTTCATTTGTTTCTCGTTTCAAACCCCTCAACATCTTCCAAATACGTTTTTGTGCTCCGTACATATCCGCCTCCATTTCGCTACTAAATCGCTGCCAATATTCTTCTTTAATTTCTCGTACTCTATTATTTCTTGTATTGTAAGTATTTTTCCTTCTTTTCCCTTTGTATGTTCTTGACTTCTAATGTAAACCAAGGTTTAAGGTTCGGTCTTCTATTGTGTGATACAGTACGTGTTCCTAAAGCTTCTTTAGCACCTTTGCAGATGTTTTCTTTCAGTTTGTTCCAAGCTGTGTTAGGAGTATCAAACTGTGCTATGGGGTTAAGAGTGACATGTCTTTGGCAATTTTTTACTCGTGACTTTTTTTCGTAAAATTCGTAGTTTTAAAGTTATTGAAGAAAAAGTAAAAAAAGGGTCATTTTTACCTCTTGTAGGGGTGGTTTTGGGGTGACGGGCTCAACGGTTCATCGCTGGGGTTTCAGGATGTTTAAAGATCTATAAAATGAAGCTCCATGCCAAATTTCAGCTTGTCTCTAATTTGTAGTTAATCTATAAAGGGTTAAAACGTATGTCGTTTATTCCCTCAAACTTACCAGCAGTTCTGGCGACGGAACTCCCATTGACGTGCCTACATTTGCCTTCCTTCGCTTCGTAAGGATAAGCATCTTCGCTATTGACCCCGGAACGTTTTCGAGCGTATTCGAAAGCTGCGTCCGTGTAACCCGTTTGACAGCCCCCATCCCCGTCATCCGACGGAGTACAATCGACGAAATCTTGTTCGCTTACATCCACTAATTTTCCAGTTTTACGAAACCAGTGGCCTTCTATAGCTCCTGCCTAAGAAGTGAAACAGAAGTATGTTCGTAAATTTTTGAATACATTTTTTTTATGACAGGGCAATTTTTGGTAATAGAATATACGAAAAACAAATCTGTTCAAATATATTTTAAATTAAATTAATCGAGTCTTATTAATCAAATTAATCTAGTCAAATAATAATACTAGTTAGTTTCTAAATACTATACAGGGTGAGTTTGCTACGATATTCTCTATTGGTATCTCGGAAATTACTGGAGATAGAGAGTCGGTTAAATGGGGAAAGAATTGCAGTTTTGTGGGGTCATAAATATGCGCCTTTCGGATTTTTCGGAGAATTTCAAGGCTTACTAGATATTTCGAAAAAAAACAAATTTTGGCTATTTTAAAACTTGTCTCTAATTCCATTATAATCTACCGTATGATTGAATAAAAACGGCGTCAACGATGGCTATGAAATGAAGATCGTTGTCATTTTATATTACAGTTGAGGGTTGGAACTTTTGGTGTTACACAACAAAATAAAACACTAAATCACCACAATACACCAAAACACTTTTACTTTTACACTGGACGCGCGTTTTGCTTACCATGTTAGCATCATCAGCAGATGATTATAAACTGATTAGTTTATTTTAATTATTTTATTATAAACTGATTAGTTTATAATCATCTGCTGATGATGCTAACATGGTTAGCGAAACGCGCGTCCAGTGTAAAAGTAAAAGTGTTTTAGTGTATTATGGTGATTTAGTGTTTTATATGTAAAATTATTTGGGAAATATCATCGATCGTCATTTCATATCCATCGCTGACGCCGTTTTTATTCGATCATACGGTATTTTATACAAAAAGTTTTCGGATAAAAGTTGTAGATAATCACATACCTAATGAGTTTGTGTTTTCTGTTTTTTTTTTCTAAAGCATGGCATTTTTGACATATGACACAAACATTATGTTTTTTTTAAATGGAAACCCTAGTTGGCCATGACTTCATAAAAAGCGCCATTCTTTAAGCTTTTCAGCGATATAGATATAATATGTTTTTTTTTTTTCGAAAAATTACAAGTTATAGCCAATTCTTTTCTTTCTTGGCTAATTCCCATACCAATAATACCATGCCAATTAGATGGCATCAAAATAAAATTAATCTGCATTAAATCAAATTAAAATAGGTATGTAACTTTTTTTTAAATATTAATTAACAGCAATTAGCATTATCATAAATTATAAATAATGTACCAACATATCGAAATAATAATTTCTTTGTTAATACGGTTTAGAATTCTTAAAATAACAGGCAAAAATAATCCACAATTTAGAATAAAATAAAAGTTTCGTTTAAATTTCTTAATCCGCTGATCACTATTAAAGTTCGCAGAAACCCGGGCTATATTATTACATTACCACAAATTACCTATAACAGATGCGAAAGAAAGCGACTGCATCGGAAACCGTTCGGCAAACCCGACACGCCTATTGAGTGGTGTAAATACACCAGTCGTTTAGTCCGGAAACCCATGCTGTGTCGTATTCGTATTAATGGGATACAAATGTGTTTATTTATAAGGAAAAATAAGATATTTATAGTATAAAAAATTAATTTATTTAACAAAATTTAATTAACAATGTGACAAAATAGTTACCTTTCTATTGGTTCTATCGGACTTTTTTCGACTATATAAATCTTTATTTGTAAACTTTAATACATCAAATATTTTCAATCTAATAAATCATTTAATGATGTAAATAAGAGGAAATTGCTCACATGGGTGGTCAAATTTTATAGTTTTCATTATATCAAACAGCCTCTGAGAAATGTTTTCAACTCAAAATGCCTTTAATTATGTTTGACTACATCATTAAAAAGGGTCTTCAAATACATCAATGTGATATTTGTCTAAAATTTGCAAAAGAATCCGAATCTCTGGATAACTCGAAATTATTTACCCATTTAAAAGCCTTTGATCATGAAAGTGGAAAAATTTGTTCATTTTATTTACAGGCTGGAAAAATTATTTATATTAAATTTTGATGAGTTTTGCACTGAAGAAAACATTCAGAGGCTGTTTGATATAATGAAAACTATAGAATTTGACCACCCATGTGAGAAATTTCCTCTTATTTATATCATTAAATTATTTATTAGATTGAAAATATTTTATGCATTAAAGTTTACAAATAAAGATTTATATAGTCGAAAAAAGTCCGATAGAATCATTAGAAAAGTAACTATTTTGTCACATCTTTAATTAAATTTTGTTAAATAAATTAATTTTTTATACTATAAATATCTTTTTTTTTTCCTAATCTCCTACGAACTGATATAATATGACGAGTAATCTATTAAATTACTATGAGATTATATGCCTCGATAACATATTGGTGCAGATTATTTTCACCCAAACAAATAATAACCCAAACTATACATTGATGCAGATTGTCTATGAACTCTTTCTGAAGATCACAGAAACCTGAACGCGGAATTCGGTGTTCTTTCGCATCTGTTATAGTTAATTTGTGACATTACTCTGAGGAAAATAACGAAAATAATCGATATTTTTGACTCCGCCCCGAATGGTTCACGATTTGTCCTCCAGTTGGCAGCACATTTTGTCTAGTCGGTTGAACAACTTTAAGAATATATAAACAAGGGTGGTACTTACTGCTGCGAACGTCCAGCAACTTTGACATAAACCTTGAGATTTCACATCAGTTACAGCTCCAACATCTCTCCAATCGATGCTTGATGGTACAGCCGCTCCAGTTCTAGAACGCACAGTAGCTGTTGGTGGAGGTTTAGATTTTGGTGCTCTAAAACCGTTCAGTAATTTGTTGAACTCGTCGGGCGCCAAATCGCCCAACCAGTTAAGTTTTTGGGCGAAAGATGATTTTCCCTGTTCGAACAATTCGTTGAACTTGTCAATGCCGACTTTGTTTTCTGCAAAAATGCCTTGACGAAGCTTAGCAATTGCCTCCGTGGGATATACTTTGTTGAAGGTTGACTGAAACACAATTATTAAAATAATATTTTTCTAATAAAATGTGTGATAGGATCACTAGTAAGGGTTTAAAATACCGGTAGCGTCTCGAAAGTGGCTCACCCCTATAACGTTTTTTATTTTTTTAGATAAAAAAACGAGATTTGGTATGTTAGTATATAAGATAAATTAGGATTGTGTGATTGACATATTCAATTGTTTTTGGTCACTTCCTGTTTCACCGGAAATGACTACAACTTTTGATTTTTAAATGGTACCCTCGGTATTTTTTTACTTTATTTGATAGAAAATGATATTCTAAATAGAATGACATATCATATCGTCAGCTTTATGACGAAAAGACGTATCTCGATTTTTGGCGATTTTGAGATATCAACGTCATGACCTGCCCAATGGGTCATATTTTAACATAGCGAATTTGCGCATCTCAATATTGTACCTTTTTCATTTTATATTCGTTTAAAAATTTGCCCCATCTCAAATACTACAATTCTTCGTTATGCCGAAGAGACGTATGTTGAGAAGGGCTCTTGTTATATCAATTGTTATACCAATTGTTATACTACAAGAAAGATGGAATTTGAGATAGGTCCTTTTTTTTAAGTTATGATAATGCATGCGAGAGAAAATGATACCATTCTACCTAATTATTTTCTGAGGGTTGCTTGGGACAAAATAAAACTTCTATCAAGGCAGCAGCTCTCTTTTAGAGTGTGATTTTGAGTCTGTTTTTTTGCCAAGAACCATTGTTAGAATGAGCTAGACTCTGCACATAGCTGTATCGGGTATGCAAAAGATTGTCCGAGAATAAATGGCCGAAGAAAAATTGATCGAAAGCAACACAAAAAAACGAAACTGTCCTTCTAACGTCACACAATCTTGGACACAACTGTTCTGGACACGACTACTCATGTCCTCACCTAATACGCCATTTTGTAACGACGTCCATCTTGGATTTTAAATTTTGTCATACTCACAGTATTCTACTAGTGTAGCCCTTTCATTTGATACCCATATTGAGGGGGTTGTGGAAAAATATGAAATCCGCCATTTTGTACCGGCGGCCGTCATAGATTTACGATGTTATTGATATTACTATATTGTATTGTCATCGGAACTAAAGGTGTGTACCAAATTTCAGATCAATCTGACAACAGGAAGGTACTTAAATTTTAATTTCTAATTTTGACCCAAGCAAATAAATAAATACCGTACGGGTCGAGCTAAATATAACCGTTTAAAAATAAAAAGAAGAAACATACCTGAAACCCTTTCCAATCTTCTGTTAATATCTTTTTCAATACCTCCGGTGAGACTTTTTTGGTGAGTGCACCAGCGAATCCTCCACCAACTTTGGTAGCGTTCCTAATACCAGCAGTTACATCGGAAGGAGACGGCGCTCGAGGCAACGACAGAAAACCGCGTTTGACTCTGGCCTCCGCCGACACCGAAATCGTGACTAGCAACAGGACGAAGACGATCTTCATGGCGAGCAGGTTCTTAAACAAATAATATTGCAGTTTAATAAAAATGAAATATAATTGATTGCCTGTTTACGAGAATTGGCTTTTATCGATTTTAATCCCCGCTGAATATTTTAAATATAAATATGGTATCATATTTGTAATAGGTAAAATAATCTTATTTAGCGTCTCTGCATTTACAAGGTGAAGAACAGATGTTCTACGCTAGTGAAAAATTTGGGAAATAACCTTTGTAAAAGGATTGAAATAAATATCAACAAGGACGCCCAAGTAGCATTTTCACGACTTGCGACCACATGTTTACTAAACACAACGTTGGATTAGTTACAAAAAATAGTTAGCTCCCTACCTTGGGTATTAAAATAAATTTAAACGTTTTTATAACGTTGTGCCGACGTTGGACTAGTACTACAGCAAAGTAGAAGCTTCTGCGACGTCGAATAAACGTTGTCTTGTAACCTTTTTTGCTTAAGTGATCTTTAGGTGATTCGGACAACGTAGTTACAACGTCGGTCAATATTGAGTTTTCCGACGTCAGTTTCAGGACCTATTCCAACATTATGCAAACGTCGTCTGTTTTACTAATTCCAACGTTGTTTAGATTTTTTTATTCTTACGTTGGTAGGACGTCGAGTCACAACCTTTTTGCAACTGTATTGAACCATAACCTTAAATCTTAAATTTTCACTTCATTGTTCTGTTCAGTCAGACAGTTCAGTGCTGTTTTTGTTTTTATAAAAAAAAACTTAATTAAAATGGGACATAAGAAAGGTACATATAAAACTAAATTTAAATATACATCGACATATATTACCGATAGTTTATCCGCTCCCTCGTTTATTTAGATTATAGAGGGCGGCACAAGCTAGACTCTAGGATGACTAAATTAGGCAATCTTGCGACTAGTATACTACCTGTTAAGGCCGAACTGCGACTTTATTAGTCCAGTATGCGACCACTCGAACTACTCCATCTTAATCTCTAAAACAACAAAGTGAAAGCCGCCATGTTGTTAAATAAGAAAATGTTTCGTTCCTAAAGTAGCAATTCCTGCTTTTTGAATACATTAACTTGAAATATTTGACCCTAAAAAACACGCGGAAACAATTTTTTCGACTGCGAATAAATTATTCTCATTTTAATAAAAAAAAAATTCAAGGAAATTTATAAAACTTCTTTAATTTTAAGGCCCATTAGTATTTTTCAAAGCAGAAACAATACATTTATCAATAAAGTTGTTTGCGTTTAACTTTTTTGCCTTGGGTAACGAGTTACAGAGTCGGTTAAAGTGTTTAAATAATTATGATCTTCAAACATCCTCCACACTTAAATACTTTTGTTTTGTTTTCCTTCACTGCCATCTGACATATGTCTCTAACTAAATCATAAAAATAATATTTTTACTATAATTATCCCAATTTAAGATAAAACGCGACTTAGACGCCATATTAGTTTTGTATTTCTATGAATTAGGATTTTAAAGAACGTTGCAGTTTGTACTAAATTAGGCTTCTAGCCAACGTCGGTATCCAACGTCGTTTCGACCCAAAAATGATTCTCCAAACTAGTGCAGACTAGGGTTGGCACGAGGTTGTGCCGACGTTGCGCCCCGACGTTTGGTCGCGTGACACAACGTTGTCCCGACGTCCAAATGCTTCTTGGGCGTTACAGTAGGTATAGTAATAAGATGTTTTTGTGTCTTCAAATAACGGTTTTATGTGTCTGCTGGAGGAGTATTAAAGCGATACATATAGCCTAGCTTACCCAAAAGTCAACCTCACCTTCACGTGGTGCACCCTGTTTAAACAAACGAGGCTCTGACGACCGAGTATAGGTGGTATATCATTATACAACCCTCAGACCTACCACCTTTCTGGGGAAGAGGAGTAGTAAACTACTCCTAGCCGGCCGAGAACGTAGCACAAGGGAACTATCGTCGCAGTCCTCACTGTGCCATAACCATCCCGTGCTACAGTTGCAGCCAAACTGCGCGGCAGCGTAACCGTCACAGTTTAACCTTTTTACGCAGCTTACACTCATCAAATCATGGTCCGGAGGTAAAATACCTTCTCGATCGGATATCCGGGAGGGGGTGCCTACTCGGGCGTATAATCGGAGAACTAAACATCGTCAATGTTTCACGTTTGCGGCGTGGAACGTCCGCACTCTACTGGACAGGACAAACTCCAATCGACCAGAGAGAAGAACAGCACTGGTCTCACAGGAACTCTCATACTTTTAGGTAGTCTCACACTTTTTTTGGAAGGGTTACCCGGTAACACACAGGAGAATTCATGGTGTAGGCATTGCGATTAAAAACGAAATCGCCACCAAATTAACAGAGGTACATTGGTGTCTCCGAACGTCCTATGACCCTAAGGTGCCCCATATCAGTCAAAACTTACGTCAACATCATAAGTGCCTACGCTCCTACCCTAGACGCTAAATTTGAGGATAAGGATAAATTTTACCAAGCTCTGCAAAATATACTCCAACAAATTCCAAAGCACGAACGAATCATTTTGCTAGGTACTTTAATGCCCGTGTCATCAAACAACAGGAAATATGGCCTGACGTATTGGGAAAACATGGAATAGGAAACGTAAATAGCAATGGTGAACGCTTTTTAACAACATGCACAGAGTATAATCTTTGCATCACCAATACGTGGTTCATGCTGAAGGACAAATTTAAAGGTACCTGGAAACATCCGAGATCAGGCCATTGGCACCAATTGGACCACGTAATCGTTCAAAGGACGCACCTAAAAGATGTCAGTCTCACCAAAGCCAGAGTAGATGCCGAATGTGACCCTGACCACCGACTTTTAATCTCAAAAATTAAAATCCAGTTAAAACCCAAACATCCACACTGTAAAAAGCAAAGCTACATGACCAGATTGAACGTACGGGGTCTAGAGAACAACGATACCGCCGACGCCCTCCGGGAAACCATCAAAGAATCACTTCCACCGATAACTTCAATCTCAATCGTGGATGCTGAACATGGCTGGACACAACTAAGAGATGCGATTCACAAAACCAGCGAAGCAGTACTGGGAAAATCCAACAAAAAGAAACAACCAGACTGGTTTAACGAAAATCAACCGCATATACAAGCTTTGTTGGAACAAAAGCATAGAGCACATCAAGCCATCACTGCAAATCCACACAATCCAAGACTAGATGACAACTTTAAGGCAGCCAACAACACGCTCCGAAGAAAACTGCGCCAACTAAAGGATAACTGGTGGTCGCAAAAAGCTAGTCAGATTCAGGAGTATGCCACGCATCACGACTATCGTAAATTCTTCGAGGCTGTAAAAGAAGTGTACGGTCCAACTAAGAAGGCAAGATTCCCAATCATGGCACAAAATGGCGAACTTCTAAAAGAAGAAGAGCAAATCAGAAACCGCTGGAAAGAGCGTTACAGTCATATCCTTAACCAAGAAAACAACCCCAATATGGAAGCACTCAACATAATACCTCAGATAACAGCCTCGATGTATTAGACATTCCAATAACAGAACAGGAAATAAAGGACTCCATAAAACAGCTTAAAAACAACAAATCAGCTGGCTCTGACACGATTCCGGCGGAAATCTATAAGTGTACAAGTGAAGAACTTATTGGTCATCTTAAGGCTCTCTTTGATGTCATATGGGAAAGCGGAGAGGTACCTCAGGACTTTTGCAACGCGAATAGAGTGAATATATTTAAGAACAAAGGAAGTGCATCAGACTGCGGAAACTACCAAAGAATTTCACTACTGGCTATCGGAGGAAAAATTCTTGCAAAAATTATGTCAAACCGCGAAACCGCCTGCACCCACATATAGAAAAAATCCTCCCAGAATCGCAAACAGGTTTTCGCACCAACCGCTGTACCGTCGATTCCATATTCTCCATCCGGCAACTACAGGAAAAAGTAAAAGAGCAGCAGTCTAAACTTTACGTTGCATTCATCGATCTAACAAAAGCCTTCGACTCTGTGAACAGAGATGCACTTTGGGCAATTATGAAAAAGTTCGGGGTACCCATCAAATTTCTTACAGTGTGTAAAAGCCTCCATAATAACAACAAATCAAGAGTGTCATATCATGGATCACTGAGCGATCCCTTTCTAAGAAACACAGGCGTTAGGCAGTGATGTGTCTTAGCGCCTCTCCTATTCAATATATTCATGGCAGCGCTCTCCATTATAGTGGACAGCAAACTGCAGGAGAGAGGTTTGGGCATTAGATACAGATACGACGGCGGTCTGTTCAACATAAAAAGACTCAGGGCAAAAACACGTACAAAATTCATCACAGAACTTCAATACGCTGATGACTGTGTTCTAGTTGCAAATACGTTGCAGCAATTGAAATGTTGAACACATATACATGGGCATACGGGGCCTTGGGACTTGAACCGAACATCGATAAAACTAAAATCATGTGCACTCCCCCGGAAGATCACAACAATGCTATAAAAATCGGATATGAGCTGTTGGAATATGTAGCGGAATTCAATTACCTCGGCAGATTGATTTCGGAAAAGGCCAATATCCTCTGAAATTCAGCACAGGATTAGCAGCGCCTCAAGAGCATTCTGGAAATTAAAAGACAGGGTTTTCTTCAATCATGACTTGGGCACAAAAATGAAACTTGCGGTGTACCGGGCGATAATAATTCCCACCATGTTATATGGAAGCGAAACCTGGGTGCCATACCGCCGACACATGAACGCATTAAACAAGTTGCAACAGAGACATCTTAGACAACTCTAAGAATAAAATGGTTCCATCATGTCTCAAACGTATCGGTCCTTGAAAAAGCTAACTGCGAGAGTATTGAAGTCATCATTACAAAGTCCCGCTTAAGATGGGCTGGTCACGTATGCAGAATGCAAGAAAACCGCATACCAAAATCTCTGCCAAAAATATCATTGATATCAGCAAGTTTTCAAAACTGAATGCTATTTTGGAAATGCAAAATGTAGGTTCCAAAGCGAAAAAGTCGACAGTTTTTACAAG